GCGGGGCGCGAGCGCGGCCGGGAGGGGGTGTGGCCCGGCCTGACCCCTGGGGGCTCCGGGCTGTTCCCTGGCGCGTCTCCTGCCGTCCCGCGACTCGAGGTCTCTAGGGAGCTGCGGACGCCGGCGCTGGGGGGCCAAGCGGAGGTGGGCATGTTTTCTCTCCGTCGCTCACTTGGGTTTGTGTTTAAATCTTTACCTGAAACGGCTTCGGTTCTCCTTCACTTGGGTGAAGTTGTTGAAGGGAAATTTACTAGTGACTTATCATTTTGTTTTCATGTTTTCTTAATGTAGCAAAATCCCCCTGTTACAGACCTGTATTGGAAAAACCCAGTTTGCGGAAAACGTGAAAAACGAAACCTTTTTCTGACACCTCCCCTCCCCCCATAGGTTGAGAGGCTGCCTTTTTTGGTGTGTGTTAGTTGCATGGTATCTTAACACGAATCTCTGCATGTGTGGAGTTTCATGTTTTCTTTTTTTTTTTTTTTTTTTTTTTTTTTCAGATTTTGATTGTATGCCATGCAATTAGGCAATTAGTATATACTGGAAAAAGGCCCCAACATTTCCCACAAAGACCTTTGTGTTCCCATGCTTTCTTGTATTGCAGTCCCAGAGGGAGTGTTTCTTATACAGCAAGACCTCAGCCCATTACTACTTTCCCTGCTCAGGCACAAACTGAGCCTCAGACTTATTTTGAGGCCAGGAGGATGGATTAGGCTAGATCCTGTGAAAAATATGAAAACTGAAAAGATATGAATAAAATCGTTAGATTCATGGACTAGTGTGAACATGCTCTTTTACTAAATGGTGAAGCCCTGGAGGAAGAGAAATCTGGATTTTTGGGAGAACCAGGTTAGGAGAAAATCTGCTTTCATATAGTAATTGAACATAAAAAAGAGAGTCAGGGGGCTGGGGATTTAGCTCAGTGGCAAAGCGCCTGCCTGGCAAGCGCAAGGTCGTGAGTTCGGTTCCTGGTACCGGAGAAAAACCAAAAAAAAAAGAGAGTCAGAGATGGTGGTGTGCAGGCAGAAGCAATTACCAAGCTTTTTTAAAAATTAAGAGTGATGTATGATTTCCTAATTTGTTGTCTTGGGATGTTAAAGTTGATTAAAGATTTACTGGAGGTTGAAGTTCCGTGTTAAAAGTTGGTGTACCCTTGTAGACTGTGTTTGTTTGGTGCTTCGGTGAGCAGGATTTGGGGGTTTAATGTGGATGGAACCTCAGGTGGTGAGGTAGTAGAACATGTGTTCTCTTTTTCCAAGAAAACGCACCTCCTTGCTCTTTGATTTAACCTTAGGCAAGCCACTTACTTTCTTTGGTTCTCAGTTTCTGATACAAAGTGTGGAAATTGGATTGATTACTGCTCTGTCTTTTGGCTGTGGCTAGGGTTGCCAGATAAAATACAAGATGCTCAGCTGATTATGAATTTTAGATAACCATTGAGTATGTTTTTAGTATAACTATTAAATATTATTTGTCATTTATCTGAAAATAAATTTAACTGGGCTTGGCTTTTTAAAAAACTTTTTGACACCAGGTGTGGTGGCACATGCATAGAATCCCAGCCTTTGGGAGGCTGAGGCAGGAGGATCTCTGAGAGTTCGAGGCCAGCCTGGGCTGCATAGTGAGCCCATGCCAGCATGAACTACATAGTTAGTCCCTGTCTCAAACAAATAAAAATTAAAAAACGAACAAAAAATTTTGGCTATGTTTGGCAGCCCTAGCTCCAACATTTTTGTTTTACTAGCAACAGGAAGAAATTAAGTGAAAGCATAGACAGGAATGGAATAATTAAACTGTCAAGAACCCATATTTGAGGCTAGGGAAGTAGCTCAGTGGCTTAGAGCATACTTAGCATGTATGAGGCTCAGTGTTCAATCTCTAACACCAAAAACCCTCAAAGAAAAAGTGAAGAAGCCCTATTTATTATCACTAGTAATTTCTAGTTCTTGAGGGACATCACTTTGTCACTGTGGTAGCTGTTCCATATCTTTCATAACCACATAATGTTCGGGTATGGAAAATAGTTTGGGTGGAAAATAGTTTAAAAGATTTGAAAGGAAATTCAGCGTTCAATCACTAAAAGCATAAAAGAATGGGAAAGATGATGCAATAAATGTTAGGAGAATAGAGTTTATCAGAAAGGAAATAAAAAGTTGTGTTGAAACTTCTGAAAATAACATATTTGAGTCTTAAAATGACATATTACTATTTTTTTTTCCTGTAAAAAATTATTTCTAACCCTGCCTGTTCTTCAGTTATGTGACTGACTTGAAGAAATTTAAAAAATGATGTGCAGGGCTGGGAATGTAGCTCAGTGGCACCAGCGCCTGCCTGGCAAGCTCAAAGCCCTGAGTTCGATTCCTAGTACCAAACAAACAAACAAACAAACTAAAATGATGTGCTGTTTGGATGATGAGCAAGCTTTGAGAAAGTTCTTATCCTTCTAATTCTGCTCTTTGTGAATATAGAAGATGAACAGGACATGCATTACCTGACTTTTGGCAACCTGATTGTTGTTTTTACTATAGTGAGAGTTTCAACGTGGAAATTCTTTTTCAAGGACTATAATTTTTAATTCCTCATGTATTTTAGTTTTTTGTTTTGTTTCTGAGACATGGTCTTGCCATGGTGCCCAGGCTGGCCTGAAGCTCCTGGACTCAAGCCACCCTCAGCCTCCCCGAGTGCTGGGATTATAGGCATGTGACACCATGCCCTGCTGACAGGTTTTTTTAAAAACTAGGCCAGATCTAATTTCACATGTTTGGAATGCCTGAATTTTCTAATTCACTTATTCTTTCAATAGTTGGCAGGAAGCTCAGTACCTGTAGTAAAAGAGGCTGATCTAAGCAGTGTCCTGGCTCTCCAGGTACATGTGTCTGATAAAGGAATAGATCAGGGGTGATCTGAGGACAGTCATTGTGAGGAGGGCCTTGAAGTGGCACTGATGATATGGCATTGGCGGGCGATGAGTGGCCCTTTGGTCAGTACTCAGCAAAGTTCCTTGGAGGAGGTGATGGATGGAAGGGGGACCAGGAAGGCAGCCAGACAGACAGATGGAAAGAAGCAGGTGAGAACAGGAAACCTTGTCTAAAGTTTCTGCTTTGTTGGGCTAAAAATCATTGGTGATATTGTTTCTGTGTGGTTCACCTTGATGCTGGAGACTGCCTTTTCTGTATTGGAATCAAGCTGCTTTTGTGTCTTTCTGAATCTGCAAAACCTTCAGTTGTCAGTGAGACGCTGAGAAAATATTTACAGAATTTGTCGCACATAAAATATATGCATTCCCAAGTCAGAATACTGACCTACCTCCTGTGCCCCTTCCTTTTTCTTGGAAGTGGCCACAGTACTGTGTTCTGTGCCTTGGTAATATTTGTATGGGTCCAGCCCTCTGAAGCATTATTTGCTTTTGCATATATTTTCTTTATGTTCTAGAGCTAGGAGATGAACCCAGGGTCTCTTCCCAGACTGAGCTTTTGATGTCCTTGGCCCCTGCTTTTGCATATTTCTGAATGTTTTATAAATGGCATTGGGCTGTCTAGGTTTTCAGTGTGATTCTTTTCACTTACAGATAGGTTACTAAGTTTCACCCACGGTTTTTTTCCCCCCAATACAAGAATTTGCCTGGGGTATACATCTGGAAAGGCAGCTATTGCTTGTAGGGTGTACATATTGGTAATTTTGCTAAATTGCTTTCCCATGTTGTTATACTGTTTTACTCTCCTACCAGCAGTGTGAGAGAGTTTCTTTTGCTAATCTGTGCATATCCTTCCCAGTGGTGGAGAAAATCGTGTATCTAATGAAGTCCAGTGTCCAGAGAATGTGAATAACTCCTACACCTCAACAGTATGAAAAGTAACTCAAAGTAAAAGTGGACAAAGGATTTGAATGTGCATTTCTTCACACAAGATTTGTAAATGGCCGGTAAACATACAAGATGCTCTACATGCTGAGTCATCAGGGCAATGCAAGTCAAAATTAGCATGAAAAACCTTATCACACCCATTAGGATGACTGCAAACAGAGAGCAATAACAAATGTTGGTGAGGTTATAAGAAACTGGAAACTTCTTGCACGGTGGTGCAGCTGCATGAGCAATAGCCTGGCAATTTCTCAGGGGGCTGACACTGGGGATGCCATATGACAGACTGGTACCACTCCTGGGTGTGTGCCCAAGGAAAGGAAAAATCTTCACACCAAAACTGATATGTAAGTGTTTGCACAGTGGTGTTCAAAATAGCCAAAAAGTAGAAACAACTTGTGGGTATCAGCTGATGAGAGGTTGACTAAAGTGTGGGCCTTCTGTGTAATAGAACAGTACTCAGGCATGAAAAGAGAGGAGTATTGCCTGATGCTGTGTGAGGATGAACTTGAAAACATTCTGCTAAGTGATAAAAGATAGGCACAAAAGGTCACACTGCATGTGATTTTAGAAAGGGACTGCACAGATACATTCTTTGTATTAGTTTTATCAGTGAACATGTCTTGGCAGAAGAAAAGTTATTACAGTATGTTCTACCCCCGCCCCCCGTTATAAAGTAGGTTGGTTTTCCAGATGTTTTTATCTTCTAGGTATTGAATAGACATTAAAGTGTTTGTATAAATCACCCTGACCTGACCTTTGGTGCCCTTTATAGCCACATGTTTGGCGTGCTGAGTGTGCCTTCACCCTCTGAGCTACACCCTTGATTTCTCTTGCCGTTTTATCCATGTATTTTTTGTTAACAGTATACTTACCTTTCTGAATCCTGGTGCCGATAAAACTTACCCTTTAAATGTGTAGACTATGTAAGTGCTGCCCATGTAGTTTTCTGCAGTGTTGGATGCGTGCAGTATTTGCATGGCTCAAAACCACAGGCATCAGCCACACACGCCCACGGAGGACTCGACGTGCCTCTTCGCTGTTCTGGGGAGCGGCTGTCATTTGTTGGTGTTTCGTTACTGTATCTGTCCTATTATGTTATGTGTACATTCTGTCCGTGATTATCCCTTGTCCTCTGATGATGAGGGTGTCACTGTTTTTTTTCTTTCATGAGTTGTGGTGATGTGAGCACTCAGTATGTTTTCTGGTTCACACAGGCAGGTGTTTCCCTGGGTGTATAGTCAGAGGTCTAGCTTCTGGGTGGTAGGGTGATGGCATTTCTTAA